CGGCTGATGGTTGGGGGACTAGACCTCTGTGCCCGCGTGGCCTTCCAAGATCCACTTCTCTGGGGCAACCTGTCACTTCGAGTAAACCTACCAGTTCACGGCAGCTCTCCTCTTAAGGAAGTTATGCTAGAAGTTCCTCCGTAGCTAGGCTGCAGCTGTTTCGATGAGTCTTTCATATCCCGTTAAAGTGGAGACRTTGGAGTCGCTGCTTCCTCGCCGGCCGCCATGTTCTCTATATGATTTTTAAAGATATTAATTCATTAATTGTTGAGTTAATATGACATGGAATAGCTAAACTTTTGAAAAAAAATAATGGTGAAAGATTACAATATTTATTTCAAGCTTAAGTGTAAACCAATTGTAATCAACCCAGGGTATTAGTGATATCAAGATGGACAAATAACCATATATACACACCTTTAATTGATTTCTTAAAGGGAAATTTAGGGAAAAGACATGAGCTTTAAAAAATGTTGCTAAAGTCATTAGAAACCCATATGTGTATAAACTTGAACTAAATTTCATACTCTGTACTAAAATTAACAAAAATTCATCATAGTCATCAATGTAATAGGTACAACTATAAACTCTCTTTTAAGTTTGGCCAAATATTCCTTAGTTACAATTGTACTTCAACATGAACACCTTTTTTTTCTGTTTTGCTATTTATTGTACAGAAGGGTGACATTTGATATCCATAATATACGGTACATTTCAAAAAGCTAGAAGAAAGGAATTGGARAGTGTTTAGCATAAAAAATGACAAATGTTTGAGAAAATAGATGTTTAACCTAACTTAGCATTATGTAGTATCTGGGTATCAATGCATTGTTACCTCATTAGTATGTGCAATTTTTATGTTTTCAGGTACCAGTTAAAATAAATGTAATTTAAAATATTTAAAACTTTAAAAATATGAAGATCTTCTGGTTTATATTAACTATTAAGAGAATGAAAAACCATTGCTTCTCAGCCTTTTGGCTAAGATCAAGTGAAGAGAATGAAAAACCAAATATAGAGAGACAGAGAGAATAAAAATATTTGCAAATTGTATTTTTATAAGGCATTTATATAGACAATGCAAAAATTTACAAAACAATAATTAAAATACTAATCCAGTTTTAAAATCTGCAAGATTTAAGCAAACCTTTGATTAAAAAAACACGTGGTAGCAACTAAGCACAAAAGAATTCTCAATATAACTRGTTATTTGATGTTATTAAATTATGAAACAATGTTATACAACTACACAGATATTATAATGTTAAAATTAAATACAACCATACTGTGTTGTCAAGGATGTGTAGAAACTGTAATATTTACTGAGGGAGATGTTAAAACTTACACTTTGGAAAGCAGTTTGACAGTTTCTTTAAAAAGTTACACATACATTTAGCATACCTCAGCTATTTTACTCCTAAGTATTTACCCAAGAGGAATAAAAGAAAACTTATGTTCACATAAAGTATTCACGGGCATATTCAGAGCACTTTTATTTGCAATAATCAATATCTGAAAACAATCAGCATGTCCTTCAAGAGATGAATAAAAAATAAACCATGGTATATTCATAGAATAGRTTACCACTAGCCAACAAAAAGGAAATAAAATATGTATTATAGTGATAGCATGAATAAACCTTTAAAATATGCTGAGTAAAAGAAAAAGAGTTTAAACCAGGCATGGTGGCAGATACCTGTAACCCCAGCTACTCAGGAAGCTAAGGCAGGGGAATCACAAGTTCAAGACAATCTGAGCAACTTAGTGATATCCTGTCTTAAAATAAATAAATTAATTAATTCAAAAAGGGAAAGTAGTCCAGTTGTAGAGTACCCCTGGGTTCCATCCCTAGTCCTGCAAAAAGAAGAATGTGTCTTCTTCTTACTTTAGTAAATGGGAGGAGGAGGAAGGGAAGAAGGAGGAAGAGGAGAGGAATCAAGATTTTAAAAGCACAAACTGTATGCAAACCAATATATTTAATAACCCAAAGCAAACAAATCAACAGTTGCTTGGGAAGATGGGAGACCAAAAAAAAAAAAAAAGAATGGGAAGGAAGGTGTGCACAGGAATAGAAGGAAACTTCTGGAAGTGATTAGTGTGTTCCCTACCTCGAACATGGGGAAGCTTTTTAGTGCATACATAGCCAAAAAGTCAAATTTTGTAATATAACCATATGCATCCTATTAGAAAGGGAGTAAAGAAACTCATATAAGTAATTTCAGAGTCTGGGTGGTAAAGAGGTGATATCAAGATTATGAACTTAGTTGATTTTCTGTGATATCAAGATTATGAATGTAGTTGATTTCCTGTTTGATTAATGTCGCTTTGTCTGAAATACAAAACCCCCAATGAACAGACTAAACTTTTTTAGTACACACACACACACACACACACACACACACACACACACACATATATATATATATATATATATATATATATATGTTTTGGAATTTAAACGTGCATATTTCCATGAAAATTTGAAGATATTTTCTTTTTACCAAGTCTGAATTAAATAAGATACATCTCTGTTCCAGATTTGATGCTCAATAGTACTTCTGTTTTCCAGAGTTTATATGCAGCACTGATTTCTCCATCTAATGCAGTATCCGTAATCATACTCATCATCATCACAAAATGGTTTACATATTCCTCTCACTTTTTGGCATCTCTCAATTCTATACTTTGGTGGAAGTCCACTTCTTCCTGCAATTAAGAATCATATCTAAAGTTATCAATCCGTTATTCATAGGAGGATCATCTAACTAAGGAGATAGTAAATCTGTTCCAGTCATGGAGTCATGAGTGTGTTAATATGGAGAGAAAGAAACTTCAAGTTGTGTTGTGGCACAGTTTGTTGTGTGAGAAGTGACGCCGGTAGAAACATTCCACTTGCACAAATAGGTTTAGAAACTTGTCTTGCAGCTCACATCAATACTGGACTTCAGCTAGCTCCTAGGGATTCTTGACACCTTATTTTCTATTACCTGTTCAGTTCATTAAAGTTAGATGTACTTTACTATGCTTTCATTAAAATAATGGTTATATTTTTAATGACATGTAATTTTCCCTTTAATATTTTATGAATTTTTAAACCTATTTTCATTGTATTTCCACAGTATCATTTGTCCAATGCTTTGTTCTCCATTCCAGATCTTACTTTTAAGTGAAACTTTCTTTCATTCTACTAGAGCAAATATATCAATCTTTTTCACTGGTTGACACTAACTCTTAATGAACAGTGTAATATGATTKGGTACTTAGTTATATGTATTTTCTAAAGCATTTATTATGCTATTTATGTTCTTGCAGACAAAATATAAAATATAATTATGTTTTCTTCTCAATCTTAACCTCTAAATCAGTGCATTACAACAATTGGAGTCTAGTGGTCACACTAATACTTACTTCTAGAGATCCTAGGAAAACTATTTTCTATATATAGAAAGAAACAAAGTTTTGATGTACATTACATATATATAAAAAAAGAAACCCCACATTAGTGTTCTAATTTATTATTATTATTATTATTATTATTATTATTATTATTATTTATCTAAGATAATGAAAAGAAAGATGTCCTGAGATTCTAAAATCACTACTTTGGATTCATATATTCAACTATATTAAAGGAGAAAGATTTTGTTACTTTCGGGTTTTATTATCTTAAGGATTTAATCATGATGCAATTATGTCTTTATATTYTTTTTCCAAATTCATGAATATTTTTAATTATCTTGGGTCCATCATTCTACCTATCTGCATGACATAATATAATTATAACATACATATTAAAACACATATATAATATAATTATGTAGCATAATTATATAGGTAACATAATTATCACAAAAATATTTTAAATATTAAATATTATACTAGTGTCAGGAAAACTAATGTCATTAACATTTGGAGAATAAGTTAAATCAAAATTAGACTTAAAACTTTGGATTGGGTAGAGGGGAGTGAGAGGAGAGGAAGGGTGTGGAGGTGGGAAGGACAGTAGATAAGACAGACACCATTACCCTATATACATGTATGATTACACTGCTGGTGTGACTCTGCACCATGTCCAGCCAGATGAATGAGAAGATGTGCTCCATTTGTGTATAATGTGTCAAAATGCATTCTTCTGTCATGTATAATTATTTAGAACAAATAAAAAATACAACCTGATCTAAACTGAACAAAGTAAATTGTTCATAAAAAATAGACTTAAATTATCTACTTTCTACTCATAAAACCTAATTATCTACCTATAAACAAATTGAAATTTAGAAAGGTGTTTCATTTCAACTCAGTATGACAGGCATTTGTTTGAGTACCTASTATTCTCTAGGCATTAGGTTAAAAGGTGGACAGAAACTAGAGAAGATTTTTAATGTGCTACTTTATTGTCCTGGAAGATGTTGGTAAAGAGCAGAAAGAAGTGAARGTAGAGAGACTGTCAAGAGAGCTTTGTACATGAATATATGTATTTCCTTAGGGTATAGGAAGCCAATGCATAGAGTCCCTGACCACTGACAAATTTTGATGAAATGTAACCTCTTTTCAGAACCATATTTGATATAATTTAGAGATGAAAATTATATATATTTGCATTTCACTTAAAAATAGGGATACATTTAACTAACCAACATTTCTGACCATTATTTCTTATTGATTACCCAAATCTATGGTAATTTTTCAGACATATTAAATTTAGAAAAGAGAATAATAACATTATAATACTCATTAGTAATAGTAAAGTATACTAATGTTGTTGTTAACATTATTTGAAGGACTAGATATTGTGAAGAAGTCTCCAGAACCACACAATTTGAAAACAAAAGTCATGCATTGCAAATTTTGTTGTATTAATTATTTAYTCACAAATTATATATCATTGTAGAATCAAAGTTTTGTAACAAGTTTTGAATTAAAATAATATATTTTAGTACTGTTATGAAAACTGGTTGTATAATACATATGAAAGCAATGTTTGAACTATATGCTTCTAAGTAAATGTCATCCACATTTGAGTGTTTGAGATGATATATGCCACAAAGAAATAAAAATAAGTGACTATCTGGAGGAAGGACACATATCATCTTTTTCACCCACTTATACTTCTATATATTTTGTGCATCACTGGAAAAATGAGGCCAATTATAACAAGTTTTTATGAAAGACCTAATGCTAATATGGGACCTTTATCAAGGAAGTTGATATTCCAGAAAGATTTCTGGAAGTCTTTGCAAATGTAAGGTACCATAAATATGGTAGAAAAATACTGAGTACCACAATCTTTTACAAACTCAGCATTCTTACACATAGGGACAATCTTATGGCTAATGAATGTTATAAGTTCAGTAGCTCCCAAACACTGGATTCAGTGTTAGGTTTCCCAAGTTCTTTGGGGAATTAGAGGTTTCTTCATACTCCCAGGACAAATGCCTGACTCAGATATCTCCACTTCCTAAAAATAAATTTTCTGCAGAAGATTTCCACTCCAACCTCACGATGCTCCTTGATAATAGAGAAGCAAAGTTGAGAACAAGAGGTATTTTCAGAAGCTGTCTGCTTTTGGTGGATACAAGTTGTGATCAAGGCAGGAATAAAACCATGGTCAGTTTGAAGTTTGAAAGGACATTATCTTTCAAAATCTAATAGTCCTTTGTAGATATTCTATTTATTAATTATGCTCTTTTGAGAAAATTATTTAGCCCATGGGATTTGGGTTCCTTCATTAAATAGAAGTTTCTGTGAAATTTCAAAAGTTATAGTGAGGTATAATTGGTAAAGATATAACAAGACACAAAAAATGCAGGAAGGAGATGAAGGTACAGGAAATATGACTGTTGTAAACAACACCAATAATCTATTCAGCCTTCTACTCTTTTATATGATTATATTACATTCTCTTCTCTCCTCACAATTCTATAATATCCTTACCCATCTTGACTCAGAGCTAATGATCTTGCTTCCTACCTTGATGATCCAGTGGAAGATCCTAAGGCACTTCCTATAGATTTCTGCCACCCAATTTACATACCTGTCGGCATCTGCGTATGAGCATCCTCCCTTCCTTCGTGTTAGTGAAGATAGATTCTCCACAGCCTAATGAAAAACTTATGCTTTAATTTGTACAGAAGCTGCAACTCCCTCTTGTGAACTCAAAAGATTATTAGATTCAACTAAGCCAGATTACTGATTTTCTAACTCTCTTTCCCACTTGTAAAATCTAACAAATATCTGATTCATATGCAAAATTGAAAAACTATTCCAACATTAATTTGTTCCATCTGTTATTCTTCCCATCTTAGTCAATGTCAAGATTCAATCTTTCCAAATGCTCAGGTAAGAAATCTTGAATTTAGATTGTCCTCTCTGTCTCACAAAGTTCCACCTCTCATGTACTCAGGCTAACTCTATCTTTAACACATACACAGTACAACCACCCCTAATTATTCTTATTTGTATTACCTTGGACTGAGCTACCACCACTTATTACTTGTATTATTTAAATAACCTCCTAACTCATGTAAGCACTTTAAAGATGTCTTTTTAAAACAAAATTAAAATAATATTTATCCTCTGGCTAAATCCATAATTACTCTCAGCATAAAAATTAAGGTCCTTTCTAATTTCCAAAATTCTGTGGAAAGCAGTCAATATACTTCCTCTGTCATTTCCTCTTCTAGGAAATATACCCCAGCACTTTTTACATCTCAGGCATAGCTCCCAAATTTCAGAATAGCTCCCATGACCACTGCTTTCAACCTTTTGCTCAAATTCTACTTCTCAATATTTCCCCATAAAAATTTTTCTTTTAAACTTATTTCAGCCCACCAACATTTTTAGTTCTTGTCACACTGTTCTGATTTCTTTCCTATAACAGGTATCACCTTTTAATGTACTTTTAATGTACATCAGTTTGTTTATCCATCATACTGTTTATATTTGTCTCTATCCACTATAATATGAGCTCCACAAATATGAGGRATATTGTTTGGTATGTTTGTTGATGTGTACCAATCTTTACTGCACTCTTTCTGATATGTAATAAATGCTCAAGTAATGTTTATTGAATGCATAAATAAATCAGTGAAGATATGTTGAAGGCAGTGTTTATGTATTTGTGTGTGTATGTATGTATTATGAAATGACTTTGAACATTTTGGAGAATATTCTATATCTTATTCAATTTTTATCTCAATGAAATTGAATATTACCGAAATTTCARTTTGTGATCAGTCAAACCAGTTCCTTAGGTAAAAAACATCATTTTCATGAGTGATGTATACAGGTTCACATTCTCCTTTTAGTTTCTAATGTATCTTTTGTTTGTTTGTTTTGTTTTGTTTTTCTTGAGCTGAAGGCAGAGGATGCTGGCTTGAGTGTTCACTAGACTACACAAGGAAACAGCTCAGTGGTGGAGAGAGTTTTGGCCTCTCTCTGGTAAGCACTGAAGAATGAGGGCATGTATACTGAATTGGCACTGCCTCGTGGTATGTGTATAGGTGTCTCCAGTATTTACTAGAACAGTTCTCTTCAACTTCTTGGTAGAACCTACCAAGTTCTTATTTTCCCTATGTGAATAAAATATTAAGTCTTGCACTTCTTGGAAGTCTTGGGATAATGATGGCTCAGTCTCTACTTRGGTAAGATAACTAATAATCAAACTCTCATTTCAAATAGGTAATTGTAACTGACCACCTTCTTGACATAGGCTGATTCTTACAATATGTCATCTCTAGCATAAGTATAATAATATATTGAAATTCTCAGTAGATAATTATTCTTATAAGACACAAATTTTTTTTCAGATATCTGACAATGTTACTGATTATTGTTTCCATTTTAATTTTAATTTCTGTGAGAACAATAGCTTTGCTGAGTAAATCAATCGTCCTCAATCAGGTGTGAATTTTGTGCCCCCAAAAAGATATTTGGCAAGGTAGACATTTCTTTTTATTTTCACAATAAAGGGAAGTGGTGTGACTGGCATCTAAGTGGGCATAGGCTAGGGATGCTGGACAATATCCTGCTGCTAAACAGACAGTRCACCAGATGGCTGCTAGAACAGAATTGTACAGACCAAAATACCAATGCATATAGGATTGAACAACCCTTTCATAAGTAAATATTATAAAAGTACTTTTGAAAATATTTATATTGCAAGAGAACACATTGAATAATCTATTACAAGAATTAAAATATGTGAAATATACATACAGCTCTAATTGTTTCATAACGTTTCTAATTGTTTCATACAGCATTGTTTCATAATGTAAATTTACGGTCATTAAAAGAAAACACTAAAAATAAGTTCCTTATGTGATGTGTGTGTGTGTGTGTGTGTGTGTGTGTGTGCGTGTTTACTTGTATAGGTAAAGCTTATTTCCACATGCATATCACTTTATATCTAATGTTTACTATGAACATATTTAGATCTAATATCTGCATTTGGAGAATAGAAGGAATTCATAGACATGTTATAATAAAAATATGAATATTTTTTATTTATTATTTTTTTCTGAGTCCAAGTCTATACCACATGTATGTATTCAAAAAATTTCCTCTTTAATTTTCCAAAATAATGTTCAACTTTATTTTGGGGGAAAGGGATTCATCTGTGGAATTTTTTATTKCTTTGTTCTTGAATTGTTATGCTTTTTAAGAATTTTGAGTTAATATAGATGACTATAAGCTAAGCTCATAAAAGAAGGTATTAGGTGCTGGGTTTGTGGCTCAGTGATAGAGCTCTTGTCTAGCATGCGAGAGGCATTGGGTTCAATTCTCATCACTGCATATAAATAAATKAATAAAATAAAGGTTCGTCAATATCTAAAAAAATTTTTTTAAAAAACTAAAAGAAGATATTAGCATTTTTTTTTTTTTTTGGAAAAAAAGTACATGGCACTGAGTCCAGCAGGAAAAACTACTGTGGGTCTTCAGGGGCAGTAGGAAAGAAACTGGGGCAGAGTGAATTTGGAAAGTGAAGGTTACTGCTCCTTGCTTTGTTCTGTATCTCCTCAGACAGAATTATTTCTTAGGAATGAAGATCTGAATTAAATTATTAGCCAAAGTTTCTGAGTTCCTAATCTAAATGTTTATTTATGTACATTTCTTCTCCTTTCTGAAATTTTTCTCTTCCTTTCCTTCTCCAATTTCTCTACTAAATAATAAAAGTAGAAATCAGTGCTTGTTTTGATCTTTCTCTGTTCTTTTATTCTTACAATCTAGTGATATTCTCCCTTTAGCCCTGTGTCTCTCACCAGAAAGAACTCCCTCTCCAAGTCTAGTCTCCAAATCCCAGTGGGTTTCTATTTTTTAATGAGGTAATTGATAGAGTAGTATATTAAAATGATAGCACATTTCTATTGGAAGCTTGCATCTCAAAAAATATACTTCCCCACTTCCTTGACCTTTGGCCTAGGGTTTTCCACAATTTTACTTAAGCTAACTATTAGAGGGCACATAAATATTTGAGTAGTTGTTGAGGGACACCCACAAAATAAATTTTGCTTACTTCTGGTACCAAGAAATGAAGAGAAAAAAAATGTAGTGTAAAGGCACCAGATATGTTTGTGATAGAGTCCTTCTGAATAGTTCAATATTAAAATTTATTTAATTCCTTGTGTTTTATAGAGACACAGAGGCCTTGAAAGATGTTATGAAAAGACTTAGTAACACTGGTTCTCTCTTCTTGGAGCAGTGTCTCTTTTCTTCTGTCATTCTTAACTATGTATGCAGCAACGTGTTCCAGGTCTTATGCAGAAAGCAATCCTAATTTCAGTCTCAAGGCATTGATTTTTACATCGACCATTACTCCTTTTGCACTCTCTCCTCAAATCCAAACTACCATACTCAGGATATCTCTTTCTGGCTGTAAGAAGGAAAGAATGACTGGAATTAGCAAGCTAGCTATGAAATATCCATTTTTTTAAAAGTAGACAGTCCCAGAAGAAAAAAATCACAGAGTGAAAATTTTCACCTGCTGGGGAAAATTTAAGTGAGTTTACTCTCCCTTTGTGCAAGGAACATCCTAGAAGTCAGAAAATGTCTTGGATTCAAGCTGAGTGTTCTGACTGTTGCCTTACAAGTGACTGGACAGAAACTCAAGTACAGTCCCCAAWGTCAAGTATAAAAACTTGATCATAACTTATCATCTGTCAGGATTTGTCTCTGCACTCATCCTAATGCATTTATGTGGTCCTTTTCCTGCTCTCTCAAACATTATCTAACYGGCATATCATGCTTTGTGAATTCTACCTCTAGCAATTTTGGCTACAGGTTGATTTCACTTTTCAAAAATATTGAGAGAGAGGCAATTCTTTTTTTTTTTTGTAGGTGGGTACTGGGGACTGAACTCAGGGGCACTTGGCCACTAAGCCACATCCCCAGCTTTATTTTGTATTTTATTTAGAGACAGGGCCTCACTGAGTTTCTTAGCGCCTCTGCATTGCTGAGGCTGGCTTTGAACTTGTGATTCTCCTGTCACCCTCCCAAGCCACTGGGATTACAGGTGTGTACCACCATACCTGGGCCTTAGAGATTGGCAATTCTAAGAGATTCATCTACATTCTCATAACACTCCTGTATATTTTGGGGTTTATTTTCTTGAAGAARTAATCTAACCTAGACTTATACCTAAGGATAGCTGTGATAAACAAACAAACAAAAAAAATGGGAGTAACTGGATGACATAGCCATAATTGGTCATTACATTATTTCTAAAATTATCATTGCATTCTTACCTTTTTCTTACTTCACCAAACTGTTTCTGAAATTGAAGTGATTTAAAAATGATTTCTCCCGATCATGGTTTATATTGCTACAATTTTTTATTACAAATGAACTCACTATGGACAGGAGACCAAATTCAGCTGGCTTCCTGTTCTCGTAAATGATTTGATTGACAATCACTTATTAATATATTATTGTACAACTACTTTTGCATTACACTGATACAGTTAAGATAAAACCTAAAATTCATAAAACCTAGAATATTTATTATGCACTTTATTTCTAGCACAATGTCTGCTAACCCCTGGTTCTC